CCTACCTCCACAGGCTTTCCTCTATTCAAATTATAACTTAAAGTGGAACTGAAATGCATCTGAGCACCAAAAACAAAAAATGCTGTTTAATTAATTGTTAATTTTCAAAGCAAACTCACCCATCCATCCACGTCTCCATGCTTTGTTTTGCTGAGAAATTATTTTCAAAAACACCCCCCTGGCATTTCTGGCAGTGGCCATGTTGAGTAAGGGCAGATGATTCATTTAGCATTTACTTCCTGCAATCCATCTGTTCTTAGCTCAGGTATTGGCTGAACTGGGAAACCCCTTCCCCCTCCTAAAGACTGCTGGGATGTATGCCATCATTTGCCTAGGCATGGGAATCAGGAAGTAACTGAAGAAATGTAAAAACTAGGGATGCACCGATACCAATTTTTCAACACCGAGGACCGATACTTTTTTTTAAAGTACTCGCTGATACCAATTACAGATACCTATTGCTTTGGAAGTGCAAGTGGAAAATGAGCTGTGGGTAAGGGGTGGGGAAATCAGGCTATGGCTGGGAGGGGAGGTGGGGGTTGGGATAGGGGCGCTTGGGGTGGGATGGTTGGGATGAGTTGTTGAGGGATGGGTAGTCAGGGCTGGAAGCTAATGTCATATGGCAAAAAAAACAGGGGAAATACCCCAAAGAAAGTAGGTACTTAGCTTGACCACAAATTGTAATATATTAAAATGATTCTTTATTAGGGACTAGAAAATTAGAAAAAAGTGCAAAAAAAAGCAATCTATGGTCTACAGTATATTGTGGACTTACATTCACTGTTCATGTGCCAGCTTGTGTCACTGGAGCAGCTTTGGGAAATGCCAGCTGCACAGTGTAATGCATTTTAGACATGGGTATCTTTGATCACAAGTGACATAATGCAGAGAGTCTGAGTGACCAGGCATTAACCAGCTGACCGTGTGTATGCATCCCCCAAAGAGGGCTGCATAGCTCCAGTTTATCTTTCCCTTTGAAAGCTTTATTAGCCAACTTGTCAGGCACCTGGAAATATGTTTGTTTGTATAGAGCCCAGTCCTGACTTGATGGAGGAGCTGGAGGAAAATATGGTGAAAGGGAGGGGGAGGTAGGGAGGCAGTGGGCAGCTGTGAGCTGTGACAGATAAAGGAGAAGGGAGTGACAGGCCAGCTGGATTTAGTTAACAGTGGTGGATGACAGAGCCAGAGAAGGCATGAGCTTATAACAAAATGAGTAATGCCACGTCAGTATGGCGTACTAACCTGACCAGCTGGAAGAGCCATTTTTGCATGTTTTGCACACATTTAAAAAAAAAACATTGTAGGCCTGAAGATTACACAAAACCCCCAAACATTATATATTTTCTGAAAGCAGACACCCTAGAGAATAAAATAGTGGTAGTTCCAATTTTTTATGCTACACAATATTACCACAAAAGGTCTAAGAAATGCAAAATGTCAGTAAAAAACACGCTAATGTGAATTTTATAGGCAAACAAATGCAATAAATTACCAAAAGTTTTGGTAAAATATAAAAGACAAGATTGCACCAAGTAAATAGATGCCCAAGATGTCAAACCTTAAACTTGTGTGAACCCGTGAAATGGTGACAAACTTCAGTACCCTATATTTTCTATAGGTGATAATGCAAAAGCCCCCAAGGCCATCAGTTTAGTGTTAGGGAGGAGGTCTTGAGCTAGAATTATTGCTCTCAATCTCGTGTGCACGGCGATATGTAACATTTGTACCGCAATTGACACTTTCATGCGTAGGTGCCCCCGAACACATGTTTTTAAATTCATACGTGCGTATAGATGGGGGTTGGGTTGCCGCAAATTTTTTTGGGGGGGATGTTATGTACTTGGATGTAACTTTATTTTTTTGCAATAATTTCTTCTTTTTTTTTTTTTGCATCACATAGGAGACACAAAGTCTAAGACAAAGTCCCCTATGTGATGATTTTTAGGTGACAGGTTCTCTTTAATGAGACATGCAGGATCTAAAAGATAGGGTGACCTGGAAGTGACATCATACACTCTGTTTTCCAGATCACAGCAAGAAGGTGGGAGAGCGGATTTGCCACCCACTGGCACAGGCCATGTTGGCCCCAGCCCCACAGATGGGCAAGGAGAGCCCAGAATACATGACGGGGGGCACCACTACCAGGGTTTGTGGAAGCAATTGAGTGGCAGTGCAACTGCCCAATTGCTTCCACCTGACAAGCAGGAGTTTGCTGGTTAGTTTTATACACAATCCCAATGGCTGCAGCCACCAGATTGTGTGTAAAATTCCTTGCTTTCAGGTTCATATGTAATAAGGAAGCCAAAGGGTTAAACAATCTGTAGTACACAACATTGGCAAAAATGACACACCTCACACAGCATTTTAAGTCACACATCCACAATAAAATGTATCTTTTTCACTGAAAAAAATAAAGGGATGTTGTATAGACTCTATAAACAGTACATAGACACCATGATGTTATCCAACCCTAAACTGTCTCATCTTGGCAGTATTCTACTGGAATCTTTCCTAGCTATTGTAAAGTACATGTTGTAAGGTAGAGTCCAAAGTGGAGCTTAGGCTGAGGGTTGAGGTATAAGCATAGTAAGCAACAAACCTGGCAGGAAGGCACAAAATCAGGATCAGGAAGAATAGTCAAGGGCAGAGAGAGGTCATAAACAGTCTGGCAGAGGAATGCAGAATAGTCACTCATGCGCATGCACATACCCCCAAGGAACAAAGCCTCACAAATTGCCACAGAGCACAGGAAGTGCTGCTATTTAAAGGCTGGGCTGATTGCCGATTCTCTACAGGTGCTGTGGGTGAACTTTGGGATGCATGAGTCCCTTTCCTTCCTGTCGTATTGACATAGGCTAGAACAATGGATGAAGTAGTTTTTGTATTTTACTGCATTGGTGTTTTGCATTGAGTAGGCCTTTGGGAAGCAAATTCTGTTGCTTGGTTTTCAGCACGTTTTGTGGACCCAGATTTGAGGCTGCTGCCATCTTGTATTGTAGAAGTGGTAATGTGCTTTAGGTATTTATTCAGCCTTGGTTAAATGAGAGCCCTTTGCGATGGGGCATGGTAGGGAGGAGGACTCTTGGTAGGACGGGGGGGGGGGGGGTGAGTTGTTGCTCTGTCCTCCCCTGGTAGCCACCTCTCTTTGGAGGACCTGCCCTTGTTGTCCCACCAAACATAGGTGTGGGTGATTCTGGATGTGGGTATCCAGATGGAGGCAGCATTATGGATGTGGCCTGGCCCTTTCTCCTGCCCCACCACCACTCATGAGTGTTGCTCGGGGGAACACATAGATCATGATGTGCCACTGAGTTCGAGCATGCATGGTGGCTATCATGTATAGTGATGGATGCCGTCGGGTTTGGTGCATCGAGGAGGCACATTCCCCACACCAGTTCACTCCAGCATGGTCACACCGACATTTATGCTTTTTTTTTGAGGGGGGAGCAGGGGGCAATCTACCCCTTTATATAAACATTGGTGTACATGGAGTGCTGACTAGTGCAGAACCTCACTGGGAGCAAATGGGAGCCATTACATACTGAGGTGGGTGACATAGGCTATAGCATAGTATGTTATGACGGCAGTGGATTTTTGGGGACCTATTGCCAAGGTATTTTATAATTGATTTGGCTGTATTTGTAATTGTTATTTTTAGGAATTTTGGACTGTTGGCACTTAAACTACAACTAGAAGAGTAAACATTAAACATGTGCTGCCTTGCACAAATCTTATCAAAGCTTGTTTCCATCTTGCCACTTTATAATTCCATTCATGATATGTAATCAGTCATGCTGACTCTTACCCCTGGAAAGGCTGTTTTTCTCTCTATGGTTTGATGGATGTTCATCTCAGTGGTACGACATTCCTCTTCAGGTACTTTATATTTTATATTATTAATATGAGTTTCGTAAGAGGGTGGTTATGTTATGTTTTGAGCAATGATACCCTACTAGTACTTAGAATATATATTTGTTCTTTGTAGGACAATATTTTTAGGTGGTTGAGGACTGCTGCCTCCCCTCTTCCCCCTCCCCCTCATTTGTGTCATCTTCTGGCCTCTTGGCGTGGACGGGCTGGATGTCCATAGCCCCAATCATGTCTCTTGGCTCTTCTCCCTGCGGGTTGTCTATTGTAGGCAGACAGCTACGAACATAGCTATAGTGATTAGATATGGTCAATATGTTTATTCAAATAAGGTGATTTTTTGGTGAAATATATGTACACAACAATGATATGATTTTGTGAGTACTTTCATGGTTTTTTTTACATTCGCAGTGCTTTTTCTTTTTCTAAGTTTGAACCCCTGAAAAAGCCTACAGGCAAAATGCGTTGGGATTAACCACTTTTGAAAATATATTAAATCAATAAGCTCATCAAGTTCATAGCTCTTCCATCATTTTATACATTTTTCCAGGAAGGTGGTTTGGGGTGAATAGCACTTAAGGGCATTGATACCTATATGTTTTTTCTATTAATCTCCCTAGCAGTATGATTATGTCCATATTTCTGTGCTCAAAGTGGTACATTTTTTTGCATGGAAATATATTGTTTTTATATTGTAGGCCTGTAATTTTTAGGAATAACTCACTGAAATCTGTCCGAACAAGAGTCTAGTAAACATCCTGGGTATGTTAAAATTTGAAACACAAAATCATAAATTATAATTTATTAAATAATCATAAAAAATAATAATAATAAATTTAATGCAATATTATAATCAAACCAAAAACAATGACATTTTAAATAGAGCGCCAAGTTGGTACATCACTGAGCAAAGTAGAAAAATCGTTTTCACTGTCTGATGACGAATTTCCCCATGAATCATTATCACTCAATTCTGCAAGTGGTTCTGGTTTACTATCGCTGTTCTCTAGCTGGTCTAAAACTGCTTTTGACCTAAAGGGACGCTTTTTGGATGCCATGAACATTTCTCAGTTTCAAGACAGAAAGAACAGTAAAAATGCAGGCAGGGCACAGGACAAAGCACTAGGGACAAAATGTATGTGAAATGGTTTGATACAGTAATGTTTTACTATGTGATTTTAGTGTATTGAGTGAATGTCACTTTTTGACATTTTTAAATTTCCCACCAGTTCCGTCCCCGTATGTCCTGACGTCGCAGGGAACGGAACCCGGAAGACAGATGTCGGCATCAGCCGGAGGACATTGCCGGGGACGCTGCAGGTGGGACATAGCGGGAGCGCAGGACAAGGTAAGTGCAGAAGGGATCCTGGAGCAACGCTGCAGGGTAATCCCGAGTGTAGCTCGGGGTTACCACTTGTGGTGCTGAAACTTTACCCCGAGCTACACTCGGGAATACCTCCAGGGAGGTTAAAGAGGAGTTTTTGCACCTTTAAAACCCACATACTTTTTCTATTATGGGGATCATTGCTGTTGATCTTCCTAATATCTCAAGACATTGTCTTGCTTGCCGGAATGATACACATAGAGATATTACTAATCTCTTCTTGCTCTGGAGAGTATTTTAGAATTATCAGATGTCTAGACAGAATCTGGAAGCTGAAAAGACATTATTGCCTCAAATAAACTCCCAAATGTGTACAGTATATTCCCAGTGCTTCGAGACACGCCCTTATAACAACTAAAACATTTTTGTATTAGTAAACAACCTCTTCAAGTTGTCTTCCATACATGCTTCATAAAGAATTGTATTTAATGCTCACCTGAAGGTTAGATCCTATGTGCCACTGGGTCATTTTAAAGGATCAGTTCATTTTTTAACAAAAAACAATAAATGCTTTTTTTTGCAGGTAATAAATGTGCATTTAATATTTTTTTTTTTTCTGGAGCTGGAGCCTGTAAAGCATTGCACCAGAGATAAGCAGATCACTGGTGCCATGCTGGTCTCCTGCAGACTTGTCATTGTATCTGTGTGGCCATACACCTCGTAAGGGCAAGCAAATACTACTTACAAGCAGAATCAATGAACTACCACTCCAAATTGCCATGGTAGTTCATCGAGAACTACAAGCCAAATGAAATGCCTTTGGAACTTGTAGTATTCTCATTAACAGAATAGTGTGAATGAGTAACATGGCCGGGTGAGTGGAATCCCGCACAACGGCATTTTATTTTAAATTGTGACAGCTAGTGGGAGGAAGAATATCCCCCACTAGCTTTCACAATGGGGATTGGGGAAGGGGGGGACAGGGGCCTGTCTATTCGTAACATGTTGCACCTTGAATATGGGTGTAAAAATGTAACGTTACGAAAGGTGAACCTATTCTGTAAACTTTTGCAATAATGAAAACAGCCACCAGGTGTTGCACTCCACCCCCAGCAACCAAAATATCCAGGATTTCTCACTTCTCATGTCCACTTAACCACTTCCTGTCCGGACACTTTTACCCCCTTCCTGTCCAGGGCAATTTTCAGCTTTCAGCGCTATCACACTTTGAATGACAATTGCGCGGTCATGCAATACTGTACCCATATGAATTTTTTACCATTTTTTTGAGACAGATAAAGCTTTATTTTGGTGGTATTTATTCACCGCTGGGATTTTTATTTTTTTTACTATGTAAATGAAAAAGTCCAAAAATTTTGAAAAAAAAGTGTTTTTTTTTAATAAAATTTTGCAAATAAATAATATTTCATCCTAAATCTTGACCAAAATTTATTCCGTTATTTTTTTAGTAAAAAAAAAAATCCAAATTAGTTTATAACCAAACATTATAATTTTTAAACATTTTTTTTTACATTTTTATTTTATTTTTTTTTTATATTATTTTTTATTTTTATTTTTTATTTTTACATACTGTCACCCTAGCAGTACAGTGTCACCATGGTGACATTGTACTACTTGTGGGGGGTGATGAAGATTTTTTTTTTTTTTTTTACACTGATTGCTTTTACACCCATATAGGATGTAAAAGCAATCATTTCTCTTTCTCTCTGTCTGCATTCTTGCAGTCATTGAGAAATTCTGAGTGAGCTGTGATTGGTCACAGCTTGTCACATGGTACAAGGCTGTTGTGAATAGCCTTGTACCATGTGACCTCTGTGATCATTCACAGATTTCACACGTAGTAAGCAATGATGTCACAAGTGACATCTTGCTTACTACTTTGCATGTGATCACTGATTCGCCAATCAGTGATCACATGACCGGGACCTCGTACAGAGGTCCCGTCCGACGATCGGTGTTTCACTGTGTCCGGAGGACACAGCGGACACCGGATCGCGGTGGTGCGCGCTCCTAGGGAGCGCGCACAGCTAGAAAAGGCGGGTGCCGTTTAGGAACGGCAACCCGACCTTGGACTGCCACCGCCCTGCCGTTTATAAACAGCAGGCGGACGGCAAGAGGTTAAACATTCAAAGTGTAGTATTATGTAGGTAAACCAATAAAACACTCATAATAATGCTCACATAAATTGTGCAGGTGCAATCTCAAAATCACCAATGTGGTACTTAATCTTCCAATTCACCACCAAGTGTGCACCCCATGCAATGGATTCTCACCAGACAAAATTACCTATTTGGTCAGACACAGTATGCCCTTATAGTCTTTCTTAGTCCTCAAATTCACATCCCTTAGGTCTCCCATGTACCTCATAAAAGAGACATTTTCATAGTGTAATGTTGTTTAAAACTACTGCTTTATTGTTAGAAATGTGCATATTTGTAAAAAGACAATTCCAATGGCAATTCTTCCATGTCAAAGAAGGCAGATCCACAACTTCTGGACGTGCTGATGCAATGTTCAATTTTGGTGAGGGTCACTCCCTCACTTGCTGTCTGGACAGAACCACATGGTTTCTTCATAGTGGCAGATCCAACCAAATGACTTCTGCATTGTTACCCCTGTGTCCCATCAGAGTTTCCTGCAGCTGAGCCAGCACAGGAATGTCATCCAGGTAATGGAATGATCTTACCCTCTTGTCTTTTTAGCAAGGCATTGTAAAGGTGTGTAGGAAAGCTGGAAACTCAAAGGGAAAGAAAGTGAATTGAGGGTGTTGGAAGGCTACTGTAAACCTGAAATATTCTCTTAACCACTTGCCTACCAGGCACTTATACCCCCTTATTTACCAGGCCAATTTTCAGCTTTCAGCGCTGCCGCACTTTGATTGACAATTGCGCGGTCATGCAACATTGTACCCATATGAAATTTTGATCATTTTTTTCTCACAAATAGAGCTTTATTTTGGTGGTATTTAATCGCCACTGGGCGCTTTACTTTTTGCGCTATAAATAAAAAAATGCAAAAAATTTGAAAAAAAAAAAAAAGTTTCTTTGTTTCTATTATATAAAATTTTTCAAACAGGTAATTTTTCCCCTTCACTGATGTGCGTTGATGAGGCAGCACTGATGGGCACTGATAGGCGGCACTGATGGGCACTGATAGGCAGCACTAAAGGGCACTGATAGGCAGTACTAATGAGGTGGCACGGATAGGCGGCACTAATATGCAGCACTGATAGGCGGCACTGATAGGTGACACTGAGGATGGGTACTGATAGACGGCACTGACTGGCATCACTGTTGGCACTGACTGGCGGCACTGACTGGCACAACCGCTGGGCACTGACTGGTGGCACTGACTGGCAGCACTGCTGGGCTGCACTGGTGGGTGGCACTGGTGGGCAGCACTGGTGGGTGGGCACAGGTGGGTGGCACTGGTGGGCACAGGTGGGTGGGCATAGGTGGGTGGCACTTCTGGGCACAGGTAGGTGGCACTTCTGGGCACAGGTGTGTGACACTGCAGAGTGGCACAGGTGGGTGCACTGCTGGGCACAGGTGGGTGCACTGCTGGGCACAGGTGGGTGATCTGCTGGGCACAGGTGGGCGGAGCTAGTGGGCGCACTGCTGGGCACAGGTGGGCAGAACTTGCGGGTGGCAATGCTGGGCACCGATCATCAGGGCACTGATCATCAGTGCCCTGATGATCGGTGCCGATCCCCGCTCTGACAACTGCCGGTTCTGACAGCGTGAGGAAAGTGCAGCCGAGAACCGGCACTTGCATTTCCCTCTGATCAGCGTGTCATTGGACACCGCTGATCACGTGGTAAAAGGCCGCTGTGATTGGCCTTTTACCACATCACGTGATCAGCTGTGTCCGTAGGACACAGCGATCACGGAGATCGCCGGGTGCGCGCCCCCTGGGGCGCGCAGGAGAGCGCGTTCTGGGAGGACGTCATATGACGTCCACCCAGAACTGGCCAGCCGCAGTGCAGCCGTCATTCGGCTATCTGCGGTCGGCAACTAGTTAAAGTATGTGTACTTTAGATCAATTCACAGCATGAAAACCCCCTGACTAGACAGATTGAATGATCAGTTACAAAGACTCTATTTTTAATCATTCTGTGTGTATGTACTCATTGGGCCTCCAATAATCAAGAACATGAAGATATAGTGTAAACTTATGTTCTACTTATTATTTCTGTTTTTTTTATATACAAAAACCACAGTACTTTGCGTACAACTATATGTGTTTTATACATTAAAATTGAATTCCTATAAATACCTTATATATACCTTCACTAAACCATCATAATCATAAACTAAAATCCACATTTAAAAAAGATTATGCAATACAAAATATAGTGTTCATGTGTTCATCCACCACTGGCCTTCTTTTTTTCTTTAAATCTGCATAATAAAGGCAAAAAACATAGGAAACACAATTTAATGAATGTTCGTCCCTCATGCTGCAAAATCTACATATTCTTCTGCATTATATTTATCCTTCTGTTCTTTTATATCATACTGCTAAAACCACTCCATCAATAGCCCTGTGTTCCATGCCAGTTGAGCGCTTACCTTTTAAAATAACCTGCACACTATAGAGGTCAAATCAAGCCTTTTTTCCCTCAGGAGATTCAGTAGTTCCATCCGCCTTTCATTGCTCCACTTCTTATCTCCAGCTTAAGTGTTACTCAGGGCAAAGTGTTGATTGGCTTGCTGAAGAAAAATACACTGTGTGCACAAATATTAGGCAAGTTGTATTTTTGAGGATTCATTTCATTATTGAACAACTGCAGTGCTCTCGATCAATCCAAAATGTTAATAAACCTCAACTCTGAATATTTAAGAAGTAAAAGTGAGGTTTTGAATTTTTTAGGAGAATATCTATGTGTGCACAATTATTGGGCAACTATTAGTGTGCAGAATTATTATGCAACTAAATGAAAAATTTAAATGTTCCCATCTCATTTGTTTATTTTCATCTGTTAAAGTGAGAACAATAAACAAGCAACTCATAATTTGCAATTAAACATTTCTGACTTTTTAAACAAAAAATCAATGACCAATATAGCCACTCTTCTTTTCAATAACAGTCATAAGCCTTCCATTCATGGAGTCTGTCAGTTTCT